CAAATGTTAGCAACCAAAGTAGCAAGTTAGCTCTTCTAATCTGGGGGCCAAAAACGCTGGGACTTCTAGTGTTAAGACTCGCTTGTAACTCTGACATATAGTGGGCACATATAATCATTGCAGCTTCTGAATTGCAGTACTTGATTCACGTTCCAAATGTACTTTCAAATTCATTCTGTTTCTTCTTCTCACATAACTATAACAAGAGAGCAGCCTACTGCAGCAAACACCACACCTGGGGTTTTGGGTGCGCGGGCTGTTTCTCCTCAGAAAGGACTTAGAGTGAGAGTCCAGAGGTGGCTGGCGACACTTTCTCGTCTGCAGCGGCTGATATGAGCTGTCCCCTCGCTTTGTAGTCAGAGAGGAGAAAGAGCGTTCAGTTTTTTTAACAGAGGTTACAGAGTTACTTTGCTTGGCCGTATTGTATCGAGTCCCGCTCAATACACGTAACAAGGTAGAGGTATAGGGTCAGCAGGGAGAGTCAACCTGCAGGTCGAAGCAGAACGAAGAAAAAGTTTAAAGAGAGCTAGCTGCGGTCTCGCCCAGACCTTTAGCTGCGTGTCATTCAGGCAATGGACAACAGAGGCCAGTGATGCTCTGAGGGACTGCTTTGAGAAGACCGACTGGAATATACTTCTGGGCTCAGGGGAGGACATTAACAAGGCTGTGGACAGTGTCACAGACTACATCCACTTCTGTACCGATGTAGCAGTGCCAAAGAAAACAGTCCGCTGTTTTCCAAATAACAAACCTTGGATCACAAGTGACAACAAACACACTTTGAACCTAAACAGGCTTTTAAGGCAGGTGACAAGTGAGAACTGTCCAACACGACCTTAAGAGGACATTGAGACAAGGAGGAAGTACAAGAATGGTCTGGAGGAGAAACTGCAGAATAACAACACCCGTGAAGTGTGGAAGGGCATGAGGGCCATTACTGGATACAAAGTGAAGGGCTGTGAGGCGGCCCGGAACGCCGATGAGTTTAACCACTTTTACAACCGGTTCGACTCTTCCCCTGTCCACGCTGATTCTGCTGTGACCTGTCCTGCTCTTCCCGGCGGTTACACCACCTCTGCTGTGACCTGTCCTGCTCCCTCCAGTCCCGGCGGCTACACCACCTCTGCTGTGACCTGCCCTGCCCCTCCTGGCGGCTACATCACTTCTGCTGTGACCTGCCCTACTCCTCCCGGCGGCCGCACCACGTCTGCTGTGACCTGTCTTGCTCCCCCCAGTGCCGGCGGCTACGCCACCTCTGCTGTGGCCTGTCCTGCTCCCCCCAGTGCCGGCGGCTGCACCACCTCTGATGTGGCCTGTCCTGCTCCCCCCAGTCCCGGCGGCTACACCACCTCTGCTGTGACCTGACCTGCTCCCCCCAGTCCCGGCGGCTACACCACCTCTGCTGTGACCTGCTCTGCTCCTCTCGGCGGCTGCACCACCTCTGCTGCTGCGTCCTTCTTCACCGTGGAGGATGTCCGGGTGGAGCTAAAGAAGCTCCAGGGGAGGAAGTCTGCTGGGCCTGATGGGATAACGGCAAGGCTCCTAAAGGAATGTGCAGCGGAGTTAGCTGAGCTCCTCCATACCATCTTTAACAAGAGTCTTCAGACTGGATGTGTCCCTATCCGTTGGAAACCCTCCTGCCTGGTACCCATCCCCAAGGTAGCAAGGCCGACAGGATGCAAGGACTACAGACCAGTGGCACTAACATCTGTCATAATGAAGACTTTTGAGAGGCTAGTACTCCGACTGCTCATGCCACAGGTTGAGCAGGCTCTTGACCCCCTGCAGTTTGCCAGGAGAGAACATGGGAGTGGATGACGCGGTCCTCTTCATGCTCCATCGATCCATGTCCTTCCTGGATGGCCCAGGAGGTTATGTGAGGCTGATGTTCTTTGACTTCTCCAGTGCATTTAACACCATCCATCCTCTCTTACTGAGGGAGAAACTGGAGAAGAATGGAGTTGATCCCATCTTTACCAACTGGATTTACAACTACCTCAATGTGAGGTCACAGTATGTCAGGTTAGGGAAGAGCGTGTCTGGGACTGTTGTGAGCAATACAGGAGCACCACAGGGTACCGTTTTGGCTCCCTTCCTCTTCACTATTTACACTGCAGACTTCGCACACAACTCTGCTACATGCCATGTACAAAAATACTCGGACGATACCGCTGTTGTGGCATGTGTGAAGGGGGGGGATGAAGCAGAGTACAGGGAGGTGGTGGCTGCCTTCTCAGACTGGAGTGAGAGAAATGGACTGATCCTCAATGCGTCCAAGACCAAGGAGATGATAATCAACTTTCACAGGAGCCCTTCCTATCGACCGGTCACTGTAAATGGACAGGACATTGAAGTGGTTCAATCCTATAAATATCTGGGAGTCCACCTGGACCACAGACTGGACTGGTCAGCTCAGGCCAATGCCATCTACAATAAAGGTCAGAGCAGACTTTTCTTTCTGAGGATTGAGGTCCTTTGATGTGACCAGTCAAATGTTGCACATCTTTTACCAGTCTGTGGTAGTGTAGGATAGGAAAATGCATGTGGAGAGGGGAGGCTTATTACCAGTTTGTGTCGGTATTAAACGTCGCAAACGTAGTCCTAAGCCTCGCCTACTCCGGGTTGAATGCATCTAAATTTATATTAAGGGAACCAGTAGAATTTGAAAACGTCTACAACAGATCCAGTACTAATCTGCCTCGATCAGTCCCACAATCTGATAGATCTTGAGTTCGAAATCAGCCAGGGATATCAAAAGATTTATAAAAAGGACACTTGACGATGACTAAGTTTATCGTGGGTTTATTGACTACATACAAAATAGGAAAAATCAACGAGGAGGTGTTTGGTCACATTAAACAGAGATGTTAAACATATCACGTGAATCATACATTAACGTGGCAATTAGAACAGTCTTACTTTGACGAAGTGGTAGTCCTGTTCCTTTGTTCGAACAGGAGAGGCGAAGGCCAGCCAGCAGGTCGGAGCAAGACTTGAAATCCACACACACACACGCGCCTGTCTAGAATAGCGCCCGTGTGTTCACAGAAGTCCAGTCCAGAAGCCGGAAAGTGGTTTGTTGATGAGAGTTTGTCGTCTCCGACAGCGGGTGTCAGCAGCTGTCCTTGTGGAGGTATAGGCCCAAAAGTTGGTACAGGCCAAGAGGTCGCGTTGGAGACGCGTACCTTGTAGTATTAGATTCAAAAAAGCAAAGCCAAGAGGCTGTTCTACTGCTTGCGCATGCTTTTGGTCCAGTTCAGAGGGGGCGCGTCTGTGACGTCATCTTTATGCACCTCCCTGGACATCTTTCGTGACGGTTATAACACATATGCAGACACACAGCGCATTTACATTACAGACAATGGTACACACGTGTAGAGTACAATAAATGTTATCAGAACAATGATTTCATGGAGTGATTATTTTGACTGTCCATCTCGGGTGTGCTAGCGTCCTGTGTCCACTGGGGGGCGTCAGAACCCCGTTGGTGGATCGCCAGCCTGCCTGGGAGGAATGTCTCAGGCCTCATTGGAGATGATACAGACGTGAATGGTCTCTTTGATCTCGCCGGAGAGGGAGGCAGATGTTTGTTTCTGGGACCGATCAAAGTCCCAGGTTTGAAGGTTGGTATCTTTGTGATTCATGATAGTACTCCGTCTGACCTCTGCTGCCTCAGATGTCTCGCTTTGGGGTGGACATTCCTAAGTCGCGTGTTTTTCTTATCTCACGCTAGTTCGACTCTGCCGGGGTTATGTCCCCTTTGTCATCTTACAGTAGCTAGTGCTGTGTTCTTCGGGGTTGCGTGTTGGGGTGGCAGTCTGACCTCGAGAGACAGTAACCGGATTGACAGGCTGATCAAGAAGTGTGTCCCTGTGATGGGGAGAAGTGTGGACTCTGTGGGAGCTGTGCTGGAGAGAAGGATGAGGGCTCTAATGCAGGGCATCCTGGGTAACTCCAGACACCCTCTGCATGACACTATGGCCGCTCAGAGGAGTAATCGCAGCAACAGGCTCCTATCGCTGCGCTGCCGAACGGAACGTTTCAAAAGATCCTTTGTTCCTTCGGCTGTCAGACTGTATAACAAACCTGACTGACTGTCAAACCTGACTAACTGTACTACAACAACAAGAAAAGAGTCTTCTGCTGCTGGACACCTGAATTTCTCATATGGGGATCAATCAAGTATTTATCTATCTATCTATCTATCTACAACAGTTTCTTCCCCTCTGCTGTTGGACTCATGAACACTTTGTAACCTTCATAAGCCACTTTACTGCCCTTAATAAAGCCATTTTACGCCCTTTATAACGTAACTTTACGGCTGTCACCTTACTGCACTACTTACTGCATATTGTGTCCACCAAGTGTCCAGTCTTACCTCTTGAACGTATCCAGCAGTACAGTCGCTCATTCAGTTTTAAGCGCAGTGGATAATTGAATTATGCGGATGAGACCTGTAGGTGCTCTTGCTAGAGGCGGCCTCCTGTCTTAGGTTTTTGAATTACGCTGTTCCCTTAAGGAGCTCTTGTCAGAGGCGTCCTTGGGTTTCCCCGGGGCCACCGGGTCCGAGTACTCTTCTTCCTTTCGGCTGCCCTGAGTTGGTTCACCTGGGGGGTGTTCTGGGACTCGGGCCTGATGGGAGTACATTGTCCCTACAGCCTACGCATAGTTTACCCACAGCGTGGCCCTAAGGGGCATAGCACTATGACGTAGAAATATTAGTTACCTATATAACTGTAGTTATACGAATAGATGTGTAGCCCCTTAGCTGCAGTCTGGGTTTGGTCGAGTTATAAGTGGCAGTGCAGGCCTGGGCTCGGCTATTTATAGGAGGAGCTCGCTTGTGTTTGGAGCATTAGATCTTCAATCTCTCTGACAGTAGCCAGGTGCCTAAAGAGTCACAGCATCGATTCATGGATCTACAGTTACATAGGTAACTAATATTCATGCCGCCAGGTGAACCAACCTTGCGACAGGCTTGTTTTGCAGCAGACCAGAATATGCTTAAGGTTTGTAGGGGATGGACAGAGAGGGCACGTCAGGTCATCTAAAAAACCATTGGCTGAGGTTAGAGGGCGAGGGCAAGCTGGTGTGAAAAGCCTCCATGCCTATATATATATATATATACAGTGGGGCAAAAAAGTATTTAGTCAGCCACCGATTGTGCAAGTTCTCCGACTTAAAATAATGATAGAGGTCTGTAATTTTCATCATAAGGTACACTTCAACTGTGAGAGACAGAATGTGAAAAAAAATACAGGAATTCACTTTGTAGGATTTTTAAAAGAATGTATTTGTAAATTATGGTGGAAAATAAGTATTTGGTCACTTCAAAAAAGGAAGATCCCTGGCTCTCATTAGACCTGTAACTTCTTCTTTAAGAAGCTATTCTGTCCTCCACTTGTTACCTGTATTAATGGCACCTGTTTGAACTCGTTATCTGTATAAAAGACACCTGTCCACAGCCTCAAACAGTCAGACTCCAAACTCCACTATGGCCAAGACACAAGAGCTTTCTAAGGACTCCAGGAAAAGAATTGTAGACCTGCACCAGACTGGGAAGAGTGAATCTACAATAGGCAAGCAGCTTGGTGTGAACAAATCAACTGTGGGAACAATTATCAGAAAATGGAAGACAAACAAGACCACTTATAATCTCCCTCGATCTGGGGCTCCACGCAAGATCTCATCCCTTGGGGTCAAAATGATCATGAGAACGGTGATCAAATATCCCAGAACCACACGGGGGACCTGGTGAATGACCTGCAGAGAGCTGGGACCAAAGTAACAAAGGTTACCATCAGTAACACACTACGACGACAGGGAATCAAATCCTGCAGTGCCAGACGTGTCCCCCTGCTGAAGCCAGTGCATGTCCAGGCTCGTCTGAAGTTTGCCAGAGAGCACATGGATGATACAGCAGAGGATTGGGAGAATGTCATGTGGTCAGATGAAACCAAAGTAGAACTTTTTGGTATAAACTCAACTCGTCGTGTTTGGAGGAAGAAGAATACTGAGTTGCATCCCAAGAACACCATACCTACTGTGAAGCATGGGGGTGGAAACGTCAAGCTTTGGGGCTGTTTTTCTGCTAAGGGGACAGGAAGACTGATCCGTGTTAAGGAAAGAATGAATGGAGCCAAAACCTCCTTCTATCAGTGAGAGCTTTGAAGATGAAACGTGGCTGGGTCTTCCAGCATGACAATGATCCCACCTCCCGGTCAATGAAGGAGGGGCTCCGTAAGAAGCATTTGAAAGTCCTGGAGTGGCCTTGCCAGTCTCCAGACCTCAACCCCATTGAAAATCTGTGGAGGGAGTTGAAAGTCTGTGTTGCTCGGCGACAGCCCCAAAACATCACTGCTCTCGAGAAGAATGGGCTACTGTGTGTGCAAACCTGGTAAAGACCTATAGTAATCGTTTGACCTCTGTTATTGCTAAGAAAGGTTATATTACAAAGTATTTTTGTTATTGACCAAATACTTATTTTCCACCATCATTTACAAATAAATTCTTTAAAAATCTTATTTTGTGAATTCCTGGATTTTTTACATTCTTTCTCTCACAGTTGAAGTGTACCTATGATGAAAATTGCAGACCTCTGTCATTTTTTTAAGTGGGAGAACTTGCACAATCGGTGGCTGACTACTTTTTTGCCCCACTGTATGTATATATATATATATATATATATATAATTTACAACTAATATTATGTATATTTGTGTTCACATTTTTGACCCGCCCCTCCACAACATTTTCTCCTTCTGATGCCGCCGCCTGTAAAAAATAATTGCTCAATAATTGTGAACAGTGTACGAGCAGCGGAACGGCAAAAAATAAAAATACATTCTCTCCAAGTTTGCCAATTTCCAATTAACTCCGGCTTACACATAAAAAGTCTGATTAGCACCATCAGTTGTTTAACTCTAGGGTCGAGGTCAGATCACTTTGAAAAACATAAAATTGCAGCATTAGAGCCTCCTACAGAGTGAGCCAATTTTGTACAAGGAGACTAAAAATTACAGCCTCAGTTGTTTTACCAATAGGGCTCAACATTATCTAAACAAGTGTAACATTAAAAGTTAGCCGCAGAAAAGTCTATTCACATTGTACCTATGCACATCTTAAATTAGCTGAAAAATGATAATCGGTTAAATGGTGTATGAGCAGCGGAGCGGCAAAATTTTAATCAGTTGTTCAGTCAGCTGAATGTGAAAAACATCAATTTAGCCATTAGCCACCTCCTTTAGGAGATGTGGGGAGGGCCGTTAGATGTTGCTTGTGACTTCAATTTTCGCCTTCCTCCCGAATCTCACCATTTACTTCAGTCATCTAACCACCTCTACTATGTTGTCCTTTCTTGATTGTTTTCCGGTGTGTGTGTGTGTGTGTGTGTGTGTGATTGCGTGCAGGTGTCGTCCCAGGACCCCAGCCGCGCCCCCCTCCTCCTCTCAGCAGAGTGCCAGCGCAGTGGCACTGTGATGCGTGTGTCTCTGGACTACCACTGCTGCCCCGCCACGGCACCCTCCACCCAGCTGACATGTGTCCAAGTGCTGCTGCCTCTGGAGCCCAGCGCCACGGACGTGCAGTGCCAGCCCCCAGCCTCATGGTGATGCCCCAGCTCTTCTATTTTATTCACAAATTTCAAATTTTTAAATCTTCTAATTTATCGTCATTTATAGGCTGAAGGAGTGAGAACAGGCGGATCTGCTGTTCTCTCTCTTCACAATTTAAAAAGTAGCTTGACGTTCACTTTGAGAAGGAAATATATGAATACATATGGATCTCAAGTATTGAAACTCCCCCATCTGGTGGCGGAGCTCGGAAATGTTTTTCTACTTTTATAAATATATATTTATTTTAGTGCTGTCAAAAAATGTAATTGTATGACATGCAATTAATCACAATTAATTGTACTATTATAAATGTCCCTTCATTTGGTTTGAAAAGGGATTGGAGGAAACAAAAATCTTAATCTTAATCCGATCCCCTCCAATAAAGAAAGTATTTGGATTGTCTAATATGGGATACTCAATCTCCGCATGCTATTGTTATTACGTTTTACACTGTCTAGAATGGGGGGCCCACACCGGACCATTGTATCTAACTTTGATTTATGTGGGTGTTTACCATTCAGAAAATGTACTGTATACACATATATGTATATATATGTACTACATATATATATATATTATTTTGAAAGGCTGGTATCGAAGCATTTACAGATAGTTAAGAAACATACAGTGCCTTTGCGAAAGTATTCGGCCCCCTTGAACCTTTCAACATTTCGCCACATTTCAGGCTTCAAACATAAAGATATATAAAACAATATTCTTTGTCATGAATCAACAACAAGTGGGACACAATCGTGAAGTGGAACTAAATTTATTGGATAATTTTAACTTTTTTAACAAATAAAAAACTGAAAAGTGGGGCGTGCAATATTATTCGGCTCCTTTACTTTCAGTGCAGCAAACTCACTCCAGAAGTTCAGTGAGGATCTTTGAATGATCCAATGTTGTCCTAAATGACTGAGGATGATAAATAGAATGCACCTGTGTGTAATCAAGTCTCCGTATAAATGCACCTGCTCTTTGATAGTCTCAGGGTTCTGTTTAAAGCGCAGAGAGAACCATGAAGACAAAGGAACACACCAGGAAGGTCCGAGATACTGTTGTGGAGAAGTTTAAAGCCGGATTTGGATATACAAAGATTTCCCAAGCTTTAAACATCTCAAGGAGCACTGTGCAAGCAATTATATTGAAATGGAAGGAGTATCAGACCACTGCAAATCTACCAAGACCCGGCCGTCCCTCCAAACTTTCATCTCAAACAAGGAGAAGACTGATCAGAGATGCAGCCAAGAGGCTCTGGATGAACTGCAGATAACTACAGCTGAGGTGGGAGAGTCAGTCAACAATCAGTCGTGCACTGCACAAATCTGGCCTTTATGGAAGAGTGCCATTTCTCAAAGATCTCCATAAAAAGTCTCGTTTAAAGTTTGCCACAAGCCACCTGGGAGACACACCAAACATGTGGAAGAAGGTGCTCTGGTCAGATGAAACCAAAATCGAACTTTTTGGCCACAATGCAAAACGATATGTTTGGCGTAAAAGCAACACAGCTCATCACCCTGAACACACCATCCCCACTGTCAAACATGGTGGTGGCAGCATCATGCTTTGGGCCTGCTTTTCTTAAGCAGGGACAGGGAAGATGGCTAAAATTGATGGGAAGATGGATGGAGCCAAATACAGGACCATTCTGGAAGAAAACCTGTTGGAGTCTGCAAAAGACCTGAGACTGGGACGGAGATTTATCTTCCAACAGGACAATGATCCAAAACATAAAGCCAAATCTACAATGGAATGGTTCACAAATAGACGTATCCAGGTGTTAGAATGGCCAAGTCAAAGTCCAGACCTGAATCCGATCGAGAATCTGTGGAAAGAGCTGAAGACTGCTGTTCACAAACGCTCTCCATCCAACCTCACTGAGCTCGAACTGTTTTGCAAGGAAGAATGGGCAAGAATTCCAGTCTCTCGATGTGCAAAACTGATAGAGACATACCCCAAGCGACTTGCAGCTGTAATTGCAGCAAAAAGTGGCGCTACAAAGTATTAGCGCAAGGGGGCCGAATAATATTGCACGCCCCACTTTTCAGTCTTTTATTTGTTAAAAGAGTTTAAATTATCCAATAAATTTCGTTCCACTTCACGATTGTGTCCCACTTGTTGTTGATTCTTGACAAAAATAATAATTTTTATATCTTTATGTTTGAAGCCTGAAATGTGGCGAATACTTTCGCAAGGCACTGTAGCTACTACTTATTTTGTATATTTTGTGTGCTCCCTGTGTGTCTCTTACTGTCCTGTCTGTGCGCTGCAACATCGAAATTTCCCCACTGTGCGATGAATAAAGGATTTCCTATCTTATCTTATGTTTTTGTGTAGTGAGACTCACGCATGCGGTCAGGGGTGCTTGATGTTTCTTCTTCTAAGGACGCTCTGTCAGTACACGTTGAGCAACAGTTTGCAGGTGTAATTTGACCTCTTCAGCCGCGGCCTGTGCATAAACAGTGGGGAAGATGAAACCTGTTTGAGAGCACAGATGTAAACCGGCCAGGCCCTCGTCAGTCCAAAATGACCCGCGCATATACAGTGCCTTGCGAAAGTATTCGGCCCCCTTGAACCTTTCAACATTTTGCCACATTTCAGGCTTCAAACATAAAGATATACACATTTTATTTTTTGTCATGAATCAATCAACCTCTTCAGCTATCCGCGGGGCCAGGCCCCACTCGTCCTGGAGTGGGCTCCCCCTGGACATCCTGTCGGCAACCACGTTCCGGGCACCCACGTTCCGGGCACCCGGGACGTGGCGCGCCCTCAGGGACAGGAGGTGAACCACCGCCCACAGCAGAATTACCGTCGCCATGCAATGGAGAGCGGGGGATCTGGTGCCCCCCTGTCTGTTCAGATAAGACACCACCGTGGTGTTGTCTGAGCGAACCATCACGTGCCTCCCCTGCAACTGAGGAGCAAAGTGCAGCAGCACCCTGTGCACTGCCTCCATCTCCAGAAGGTTGATGTGGCGGGCTGAGTCCGACCAGCAGCCTCCTACGGAGCTCTGACCGAGGACCCCGCCCCACCCCTCGAGTGACGCGTCCGTGAACACCTCCACGTGAGACACGGCACTGACCAGAGTCACTCCGTCCCGCAAAAGACCCGGAATGAGCCAGAACCTGATGTCCGACGCTGCAGTTTGGTGAACCCAGAACAGCTTCCCCCCGTCCCGTGAGGGGTGAAGCTTGAGGCGTGAGAACCATCTCTGAAAGTTCCTCATGTGGAGGAGGCCTAGCCGCACCAGAGCATGAGCCGCCGCCATCATTCCCAGAAGGGAGCTGAGGCGCCGAGCGGGGACCCTGGGGCCCGCTAGCACCTCCCTGGCCAGACGGGTGATGTTCCTCCGTCTGTCCTCAGACAATGCAGCACGGAACGTCACAGAGTCTAGCTGCAGGCCGAGATAGATCATGCGCTGAGCCGGTTGCAGCCTGCTCTTTTCCCTGTTCACCACAAAGCCCAGGCGCTGTATGTGGGAAAGGACCCAGTGCGTGTGACTCACGGCCACTTCCCTGGATGAGGCCAGTATTAACCAATCGTCTATATAGGTTAATATCCTCACCCCCGCGCGTATGAGCGGCTCCAGTGCCGCCTCCACGCACTTTGAGAAAGTGCGTAACGGAAGGGGAGACGCGTAACGGAAGGGGAGACGGCAGTACTCGTAACTCCTCTCTCCCACCGCGAAGCGCAGGAACTTCCTGTGTTCCGGAACTATCGCCACGTGAAAATAAGCGTCTGTCAGGTTTATGGAGGACATCCAATCTCCCTGTCTGACACACTCCAGGAGCTGTTTCGTGGACAGCATCCGAAACTGACGCTTGGAAATGCACTCGTTCAAAGTGCGCAGATCAAGAATGGGACGCACCCCTCCTGATTTCTTTGGCACTAAGAAGGAAGGGGAGTAGAGCCCCCTGGTGGCGTCCCGCGGGTCTACCTCTACTGCTGCGCCCCGACTTAGCAGAGAGGAGACCTCCACTTGCAGTGCCACTAATGACCCCCGTACCTGAGAGCGTGCTGCCCGCACGCCCCGGAATGGAGGTGGTTTTCGGGAGAATTGTAATGCGTAGCCTCTGCGCATGGTTTTCTCCAGCCACGGATCCGACAGTAAGCCCTGCTCCCTCCAGATGCTGTAGAAGTCTGTGAGGGGCGGAACGGGAACTGGAACACGAGACGTCACAGCCCCGCCCTCTCCTGGTGCTCCTAGCAGGGAGGGGGGTGGACGAAAGGGCAGAGGGGCCCGCGTAGCACACTGCACACCCTGCTCAAGGGGCTGAAGGCCTAGCGGGGCAACGTTATGGGCTCGGGAAGTAACACAAGCAGACACATTACACATGTTACGCACCCCCAAATAAGACTCAGACAACAAGTACTGATGAAATGCCGGACGGTCTTTATTAGCAAAAGTTTTGCCACCCCGGCCTCCTCTACTGTAGGGAGGCCGGCGGTGGGTGCGCTGCTCCCTCGGGCCTTCCGTGGGTCTGTCCGGACCCGGGGGTCTCGTTGAAGGGGGGCGATGGATGGTGGAGCGTGGGTAGGGAGCGGAGCGCCTCCTGGGCGAGCGCTCTCTGCCTCTGTCCAGGCTCCGTGCAGCTTGGTGGGCCTCGCGCCTTGGAGCTAGGTGCGGTGCTAGCCTAGCAGAGTCCTTGGCCGCAGACTCCAGTCTGTCCACCAGGGCTTGCATGTCAGGGCCGAAGAGGGACGTCTGGGACACGGGCAGGTCCAACAGTTGCCTCTTCTTTGCCTCCCTGATGTTTGCTAGCCCAAGCCAGAGGTGCCTGGCCCCGACTCGGGCTGCAGCCATGGTGCGGCCACCATCCACGGCAAAGGCCTGGCTCATGCGCAGGAGAGCCGCGAAGGTGGTCCTCGCCTCTGTCAGGAGGTCTCCGCTGAGCGCCTGGCCAGCGGAGAGCGACCTATCCAGGGCCCCCGTGATAAAGGCCATGTTGGTAGCCAGGGCGACGACCTGAGCCGCGTTGGCATGACATCTGTCCAGCATAGCCAAAGACATCCTGTCCCGCTCGGAGGGAAGGAGAGGTCTGGCGCCGGGCCACACGGATGCGGAGGGCTGCAGGGCCATAAGGACTGAGTCCTCGATGTCTGGGACACCACCGGTCCAGGACCAGTCCTGCACGCTGCAGTACATGCCGTACCCCAGAGCAGGCCTCTTGGCTGCTAGGGGCTTTGGCCACTCACGTGGGTTGCTTCCTCCTCCTCTCTCGATCCTTTCCGGGGAGAGCGAGACACGAGGCGCAGCTAGCGCTCTCCGGCGCATGGCCTGAGCCCAGGCACAAGAAACAGCGTGAATGCTGGTCTGTGCGCGGGAGCCTGACCCGACACTCCAAGCAACGACAACGTCCGACGCCGGAGGGCGAAGGGGAAATCGGACGAGCAGTCGAGGCAGACATCTCAGCAGACAAAGTATATGTAGTAGACGTAAGTATGATCTCAATCGGCGCCAGAGTGAAAGAGGGGGCGCGGCCTTGTGCAGGGGCTTTTATAGAGGAGGGTCGCTAGTGATTGGAGCATATTTATATATATTTAATCTCTCTGGCGTGTGACCTGGGGGTCACGTGATATCCCTCTAGCGAAGTGCTGAGGGACGTAGCACCATGACGTAGAACTGGCTGTTAATGAAGTCCAATATGAGCCGCTCAAAAGTCTTCATAAGAACAGACGTGAGAGTTACATGATTATAGACATTAAGGCATGTCACAGAAGTTTCCTTAGGAAATGCGATTATGATCGACTCTTTAAAGCAGTTTGGCAGTTCCTTAGCGACATGTTGAAAATGTCTATTAAAGAAGCTATACACGATTTTTTTTCTAAGTAGTTCATAAAAATGCTTATTACTACATACAAGTTGTATCATAATCCATAATTTAACTGAAAACTTGAGGTCATTGATTCAGCGATGTATGAGTTACAGCCGTGAAAAGTGTGGAGTAGAGTCTTAGCGGGACGCTCATTCTCCTCCACTCACAGAACAAGCAGCGAGCAGCCTGTGTTCTCTAGCCTCTACAGCGCTGCTTACCACTAGGGCTTCGACTTTGAATATAATTCTAAAATTAAAAATATATATATATTCGAACAAATATTAGACAGCCCTTATAATTCGAAATGTATTTAATGACTGCAAATAAAATAGTTAGCTCCCAAAGGTTTCACCGTGACGTGCTAGCTAGCTAGTTCAAAAACTCTAGAACTACATGAAAACTGAACAAAGAATTCTAAACATCAGCGGTGAGTTACCCTTACACTAACCTAAATCCATAATCAGATCCTCTTCAAATGTGTCCTAAAATGTTCGTTTCATGTTAATGGTTACTTCCGGGTTTTTCGCGATCGCTTTTTGTCACATTAAAATAGTAATTTTGTCATGAAAACGTTAACACCAAATTCTGAAATCGTCCGTGCATGTGTGTTAAGGATGTATATGTATACTGTATTGTCCGATTAACGTTTAATGGCGTGGATTGATTGATATGTATTTGTTTATTGAGCGTGGCTAACTCGGCTAGCTCCGCTAGCTTCTCTGCACAGTGCAGTGACAGGCGCTGATAGCTTGTTGTACTTGCGGAGTAATGTTAGTATTTTACACACCTGAATTACAAACAGAGATTGCGTTGCCAAAGGGCAGCGGTCATTATTGGTTTGAGAGTTCTGTTATCAAGAAAAAATGATCGGTAGAATTACATTCAAGTCAATGGAGTGTTCTACTGCTGCTGTGAGGAGCTGTATAATAAATTATAATTAAATATTTGAATATATTCTAATGTTAAATTAATACATTCGGATGCGAAACTAGCGGTATTCTTTTACCTACTGTATATATTGTGTCAGCAGTGCGTTGCTTTAGTACCATTTCTTCAGTGATTGTTGTACAGCTAGAAGTTGCGCTAATGCTAATGTTAGCATACATATCAGATCGCAAATTGAGCTAGATGGCTCTGTGTTATGAGAGCGTAGGGGAAATGAGAAGCCATTGAGCGAGTTGGGGGGCGGTACTAAACATTCAAACCTTGCAGAAACGGGTATAGCGCCTTTAAGTTGCACAGAGCACAGTTCTGGGACACAATGAGGGATGCCATCCGGCCCTGGACTTCCTCCTGAGTCACGGTGAAGGCACCTTGATTGAAACAGTCAGATTTGAGGAAATGTGGAGTCTGCTTTGCTCCGGTGCTGCTCTGATATAAAACCTGCAGTCACAGCAGCCCTTTCTGGACCGGTTTGGACAACCCCGCTCTAAGTTATTCATATTTGTCAAAAATCACTCATCATGCAGCATACTTATGTAGTATTGTTTTGTTTCTCCTTTTCACCACGTTACAAAACTGTTCCTCATCAGTCACAGACCTGGAGTTACATCAACTCATGACATCATGACCTCAGACTATGGCATTATGGAGAGAGCTTTTTAAACAGAAACAAGTATTGGCTCCAAATCAGTTTTGGGACTTTATCCAGTATAATCAGATAAGAATTGAATGTTGCGTAGATCATGCTCAGTGGACATTATTGAACACAAATTATGTTCAAATGTTATCTCTGCAGGAACACGGAGGAGAGACGACTACTGTGGAAGCTTCCAAACCTGTCCCCCACCAACCACAGCAAAGGTCAGAGTCACCTGGGAGAAGCCTTGCTAAATATGACTGTTCGGGACCAAAATGGATATAAAACCACACTCAAAATATGTACCAGGAGTTCTGGCCCATCAAGAAAAGTTATCACAGTGTAAAAATGTACCTCCTCACATGCACTTTGGAGTTCCTTTGTAGCATAATAAAGTGTTATAATAGCAAAATAATAGTTTGCTAGTATATTCTCAAACTAAGTCTCTCAGCTGGCCTGGGAAACCCCGGGGATTTCCTTGGATGAGCTCGAAAATGGATAGATTGTTGTCGCGGGATCTTTGAACAGCTGTAGCTAAGAGTCATCCCAATAGAAAAGTCCTCCCAATAGGTCACAGCATTGGAGGTGGAGTAGCCGGTGGGTGGAGGAAGACGGGTCACAGCAGCAGAGGTGGTGTAGCTGATGGGTGGAACAGGACAGGTCACAGCACCAGAGAGGGTGTACCCGCTTGGTTCGGATCATTTTTTCTGCTCCAATCCAGAGTAAAATGCTGAATGCTTTATTAGCATTTTTCAAAAAGTTAGCATTTCTCCAGTGGATTGTTCCCTGATCCATTTGGTTCGGACAATGAATCCTCTCCGCTCCGGTCTGGACCAGTGCAAAATCATAAACTCACTTCGAACTGAAACTGGAATGCTATAGATTATATTACAGAAAAATGTCCTACTTTTTATCCGTCTTTGTTTTTGTATAAAAAAAAGCACAAGAGAGGTGCACATATTTATTATCTGTAAATGTGCAAAAACTGTTTACCTATGGAGAACTCATTGCTCAGTTTGTATTTTGTGGTAATATTGACCACTCACTGAGGTCCTGGTGTGCTGGTTAGGCTCCGGGACTGTGTGTGCAAGCTGGCAGTGTGCAGAGGCTCCCTGGGGTCCCCCCCCCAGCCTGGCTGTGCAGTTTGTGGGCTGTGGGGCCTCTCTGTCGGGCATGGAGCTGGAGCTGGTGGGCAGCCGTTACCGCATGTCGCTGCTAAAGAAGAGGTTTGCCACAGGTGCGTGCTTTTAGCTTTTGTTACGCATTACACAAAGTGATATCACACACACACATATATATATATATATCCATCCATCCATTTTCTACCCTTTAATCCATTTCTGGGTCAGGGGGGTGGCAGTCAGAGATGCCACCCAAGTCTCATAGCACCAGCCCCTCACTGACCCTCTGCAGGTGGTGAGTCCACAGGAGGACGGCTGAGTGTGAGCATAGCCTTGATCTTTCAGTGGGGGCTTTAGGCAAAGTGGGGTTAAGTGTCTTGCCCAAGGACACAACGACAGCAGTCATCAGTGGGAGTCGGTGGAGAAGGTGCAGAGGTGGGAATTATATATGTATATTATATATATATATATATATATATATATATATATTATATATATATATCACACATACCATGTTGGTAGGGCAAGATGGGTTTGGCCTTTGAGCCTGAAGGTCGTGGGTTCGAGCCCACCGTGAGACTTTCTCCACGACTCCACTTGTGTCTGCTGTCGTTGTGTCCTTGGGCAAGACACTTAACCCACTTTGCCAAAAAGGCGCGAGGAAGTAATGTTCGCTGCATGCCTTGATGTGTATATGTGTATGCGTATTCATCAAACTGAAATTTCCCCACTGTGGGATGAATAAAGGACCTTCTTCTCCTTCAGATCCCAGTTCCATGAACTTTAGTGCATTAAAAAGACTAATCTGGATGTGTTTGTGTCCACAGGGAAGTACATGGCTGGATGCACTCTCTGATTATGACTGCAGTTGGAGACAAACATTTGCGATTATTGAAATGGTATTCTCCTTATTTAACATGTTGGTGTCGTTTCTCCTCTTGTTTCTGCTCTGTATTGATCTCTGTGCATCTGTATTCGGCTCATGGTCACACTGGTGCATTTGAGTTTCAGACTGTGATACATTGTACATCCGTGTTCATGAGAGGCTGTTTCTGAAAAAGTCTTCAGTTTACTAGTTATAAAGTATATTTCAGACTTTCATCTTTATATTTTGAAAAGACAAGATCCAATTGGAAAAAAGTATGTTTTCTCTCATTTATCTTGACATGTAATGCCATGATCTCCCACTGCGCTTGTCCTTATCCCTGCTTTAAAAAAAAACGGCTATGCATATGTCAAAGTCAGAGGGCCAAACATAAACATTTTCTACAAGCCGAGGGCCGGACTGGTTCAATGTTTATTAAAACATTAAAATTATTGTATATCGAACCAAGACCTAACACAGTGTACTGTATTTTATTTAATGATTAAAATGATAATCCAATATTTTCTATGGCTCTGTCGGTAATTTCAAGTGAAAACATTTTTCAACAGGCTCACAGGCAAAAACAAACTTTCTTCACAGAGAAAACACCTGAACACATGTCCTGAACATTACATGAATAATCCAATATTGTCTTACTACCACAAGTGATACTATTTAAATATCATCCCGTATCCCATATCAACGCTGAAACTAACAAACTTATTAAAATTAGTAGGGGCCTTTAATTTTATTTGCTGTCATTTGTCCTTGTTTATGCCTAGGCCACTGTATCTATATTTTGTTTGACCACTGTGGGGCAGGGTGTTAGCACAGGTCACACCAGTTTTTGAGTAATTTAAGGAAGGCAAGAACAAATAGGAGCTTCTCAAGAAGTCTGCATTACAAGTAGAAAACAACAAATCTGCTCCACGTACCGTTTGTTTGGAGGCCTGACCATGTTAGGATCTTGCTATGGTTTGACATGATCAATGTTGTGTGATCTTCAGCATTGACCAGTGACCCGTTTTTTCCATGTTTTTCATGGATTGTGTAAAGTCTGGCTCAAGTCGTCCTATGACTAACAAGAAAATGTATAGTGATTACTAACATGAAACTGTAAAGTAGGGCTGTCAAACGATTAAAATGTTTAATCAACTTAATCACAGCTTAAAAATTGATTAATCGAATTTCGAACTATTGACAAAATGATGCCATATTTTTCTGTGCTTGTTTGAATGGAAAGATACATGCCAACATAGTGTACATATGTACTGTATATATTTATTATAAGAAATACAGTACATATGTACGGTATTTGTAGTGACTCAGACCAAAACTATTGTTTGTTACAGATGAGGGACATTTCAAGACAGACTGAAATGGAGAATGTAATTAAATCTGTTTGATTTGCTCACACCATTACTTTTGGGCACAACCAACATGAACTGGTAGTGGAAGGGAAAATTAGGTACCCCAGCTTTAATTTAGCGAGTGTGCTTCGGGAGAAGACATGGAGGAGACTGAGGTTCCGTTGTCCAGCTTCTGCGCTGTATTTTTTGTGTTCACCGGTTACACAAAGACACGCACATTACAAGCAGAGAATAGTTGTGCGTGTATGGTCTTGGATATGATCACGTTACAGCGGCGCCGTTCGCCGTGATCACAGCCGCTGGAGGTGGTAACTACTGTCCAGAGCTCCCGTAGCTCAGCTACGGGAGCTGAGTTCATACAGGAAACAGCAGCAAGTGCCTCGTTGTGTGTATTCTTTTAAAACTTGGATTCCCAGAGGGCCTACCTGCTCTGTTGCCATCTCACACATGCATGTGTCCGCGGCATTCTGTGTGTTATTATGGGATGCATGGGCAATTTAAATTATTTTTTTCCATTAATCGCCTTAAAATAACGCGATTAATGGAAACAAATAATTTAAAACTTGCGTTAACGCAATAATTTTGACAGCCCTACTGTAAAGTAAATCTAACTTTATATAGAAATAGAAAAAAATAAACGTTCTCCCTTGAATTGAAAAGGACCACCTCCTGTCCCACTCTGTATTGGAAAGCTTTGTTTTTCTTTACTTTTTCCATAGGCCAAACTCTGCCTTAGTTGTTCTTTTGAAATGTTGACCTTTTAATGTGTTATCCTGTTGGCAATTTTAAAACTTGTGACATGGTGACAAATGCTCCACATCCTCCTCCTCATGAAGTACAATGGAAAGCTGAAAAGACAGATAGGTAATCTACATTAAACAACCAGTTGCGTGAATCAAGCTCACAGGAACCTCTGCGAGGAACACAGCCTCCCTGCTATACATCCACAAAACATATTTAAATGTAAGTAAGCATTGAGGGAAGACCCAAGACAAGGTAAGTCAACTTTCATGTTATGGTGTAAGGTAGGCGTTGTGAAGGTAAAATGTTGATAATTATGATAACAGAGGGGTTTTCCCACTCCCGCGAACAGTCAAGCACTGCCAAAGCGGCATGGTTGAAAACTATCAATGTAGCCGCTTGACGCCTTTCATTTTTTAGCGCAGTGATGAAGCAGGAAGGTTTATACAGTCTTTGGTACCTACATACCTTTGGGTCAGGTGAAATAAGTTTAACTTCAGCCTGAACCCTTCGGTCGCATATTGTAATTCTGTTGTTTTGTTGACAGTTAACTGTAACTTTGTTTGCTATGCTTGACCGAATAAACTACTACTACTAATACATAAGACATGTGCCTGTATGAACCACAGACTGTATATATTAACGGACAGAGTCACGCCTATCTCCGCCGTTCTAACGGGCCAAAAAATGTGCTCTACTGGAGCAATCCAAAATGGCCACGAGTGGTCCCGCCCACAAGAAAATTGTGAAAAAACAGCACAGCTCCATTCATTTGAACGAGAGAAAATTCACAGCAAGTAAACTAGAGTGGAACTAAAAAATTCACCCCCCTCAGCATTGACATTGCTGAGGGGAACAAAGCTCTGTGGAACAGAGCTTTGGGCCAAGAGCCAACTTTTGGTCCATCCTGTAAAGACGTTTTTGAGAGATCTGCCAATGCTATATGTTAGCATTGGCTAATTCTTCTTCTGGGTCCACCCCATCCGCCCGGGGTGGTATTGCAGCATGTCAGCGCACGTCATTTTGGCCACTTTTGAGCTGGGACCCGCCCCCACTGGTTTGAACACTGTGGACGAAGATCCATCAGCAGTTACAAAACTGTAGGAATGAGGAGCACACAAGAAATGTGAACAATAACAATTTACTGAAATTAAATCAAATTTGAACTTTTAATAGAAAAACAAGTAATAAATGCTGTAGTGTAGTATTGTATAGTGTCATATATAGTCAATCAATCAAATTTCATGTATACAGCGCTTTTCATACAAAAGATGCAACACAAAGTGCTTTACAGTTGAGTACACACACTCTCATGCACACGCACACACACACACACACCAGTAAAACAGTAAAACCATTAAAAGAGACTTGGCAGGGTTCAGATGCAACAAGCTGAAAAAGCGTAATCCAAGGAGCCGTCTGCACCAGGAGCAGAGAGCCGCCTGCAGCCACAGGGGACGACACAGGACCCAGAGGAGACCCGAAGCCAAGGCTCCAGGCCCCCGCCAGGTCCAAGATTCTGACCCCTGCAGCCACACAGACCACCGCTCCCAGTGCAGAGGGCTCCTCCAGAGGAAACACTGGGGATACTAAAAACAATACTATAAAAAAGTAAAACACTAAAATGTGAGAATATAAAGGAACTATCACACAATACATGAATAATAGCAATAACAATAATAGATAATAAAGCTGAAATAAAATGTGTCGAAAAGATAAATAAAATATATAAAATGGAATAATAAATACTAATAAAAAGCTCATCTAAAAAGGTGCATCTTGAGCCTGCTTTTAAAAATATGAATGTTCTCTGCGGCCTTGAGCTCCTCCGGCAGACTGACCTCCGGCAGGGACGGGGGTCGTAGTGCTGGAAAGATGCCTCGCCGTGAGTGTGTGTCCTGACTTTGGGAATGTATAGGAGTCTACTGCCGGAGGAGCGCTGGGGCCGGGAAGGTTCATAGGATAAAAGAAAATCTGAAAGATAAGAAGGCCCAAGACCATTAAGACATTTAAAAACCATTAAAAGAACGTTAAAATCGATCCTGAAACACACGGGGAGCCAATGCAGCGATTTTAAAACCGGTGTAATGTGGTCCCGCCCCCTGGTCTTAGGACACGTGCTGCCGAGTTTTGGAGTAGTTGTTCTTTTTGGGAAGACCAGAGAGCAGGGCATTACAGTAGTCAGGGTTTTTTACTCTTATGGACTACTACAGCATTTGTTTCTGGAATGACTAAAGTTTACTTATTTTGGATAGGTGCAGTGTTGTATGTGCGGCGACTTCACACATTTTGATTGTACCAACAAAAAAAGCGCCTTTGTTAGCATATAATAAATGTATCAATAGAAAAAAGTGTTGGCCACAAATGTTGTCAGAGTAATTAATAGTTACCTAATGTAACTTAAGTTCTACGAATAGGTGCGTAGTCCCTTAGGACTTCGCTAGTGGGATATCACTCGTGACCCCCAGGTCACACGCCAGAGAGATCAAAATAATTTGCTCCAATCACCAGCCACCCTCCTCTATAAAGGCCCCTGCACAAGGCCGCACCCCCTCTTGAACTCTGCCAAGCCGGGCTGGCCTGATGGGCTCGTAGCTAAGGCTCCCAATTAATTAAAGACAGAGGTCTGTAATTTTCATTCATAGGTTCACTTCAAATGTGAGCAGACAGAATGGGAAAAAAAATCCAGGAATTCACATGTAGGTTTTTTAAAGATTTATTTGTAAATGATGGTGGAAAATTAGTATTTGGTCACTTCAAACAAGGATAGATATTGGCTTCTCACCAGACCTGTAACTTCTTCTTTAAGAAGGCCTCTGCTGTCTCCATCGTTATCCTTGTATTAATGGCACCGGTTTTTGATACTCATCTGTATAAAAG